TATCACTTAGTTTCTGTCAGATCCCTCGGCGGGGACTTCAACGCGTTTGTAAATGTTATTTTTCAGTTGCAAGGCGTACAGTTTACCGTCTATTCCTGGTTCGTCAAATCCACGAGTGTCCCCGAGGTCGGAGATCGCTAGGTTGGCACATTTTCTTAATCGCATTCCTGGGCTGTGGGCGCTAGTCATTATTGTATGTGCAGCGTTATGCTGAGGTACCCAATATTAATAGGGTGGTTTTTTATATCTAAAATACATTTTTTTAACTCTGAGATGGTACCTCGCGTTTATTTCTTGTACTGCCGTGTTGAAAAAGATTCGGTTCTGCCATCGTTGTACTTTTCCGTTTTCACCGGTACAGCTCTCAGCGTAGAAGGGCATTCACCTTGAATGTTGTCCGTCGTGTTCAGCTGATCAAGATGAATGCACAGTTCGCGGTATGGAACTAGGTCGGGTAATTCCATGCCTGTGACGGTGTTTGTCGGGGGTATTTCGCTCGATGGCAACCCGATTGTTCTCGCCAACAGCCGGCTGAGTCTCAAGACGTTTCTTCCGTTTTTAGTTAACACGACTGTGCCGTTTGAGTCGTTAATTTTGAGTTCGACTCCCACGGGTTTGAAGACTTCATCGCTGAGCGAGCATATACTGTAGTCGCCGTCCGTTATTTGGTTACGTTTATCATTGATGAATAGCCTGTTGTTGCTGCTGTTGATGTTGGTCCATCGCGGTAGGTAGGTGATATCGCAGAGTGCGACTTCGAGTTGACCTGACGTGTTATCGATCGCATGCATCAGTTGAACGGACTCACCGCTTGTTATTCCTGGAAGTGTTACGTACATATTAAAGTATATATACCCATTATATAATAATTTTAAAATGTACAAATCGGGAGTGTTTTACCCTAAAATGGATATAGATTTCACGAACATTAAGACCGTGGTCGATGCAGATGGTTTACATTTAGTGAGTGAGTGAGTGAGTTATTATTTAACGTCACATCGGCAGTTTACATTTCAGAGCACAGTGTATTGATGTGTTTAAAAATTACAGGGTTTCGGTGACGAATGTGAAAACGGTGCACGCTTGGTTTAACAACCCGATGCAGTTCTGGCAGAATCAATTCAATTTCGCCGCTACAACGGGGTGCGGCTTGACGTTGAGCGACACTCGGCCTGGCCCTCTGGGTCGGTCTGTGTTTATGTTTCACGTGTACTATCAGATCAGGCGTATCCTCAAAGAAATCAGCGCTCCGCTTCGACAGGACCAAGGCTGGGATGCAGTGAACAATTCGAAGACGGATTGGCGTTTGCCGGGCCCGAACCACGTTCACAACATGCCTTTTGCGAAAGCCAGCAAACAGCTGGTGAAAGATTGGGGTTACAAGTTGTATCATTACGTCAAGACGGAGGTTTGAGCAGGGACCCGTGGACGATTGGAAAATGTTCATGCTGGACATGTCAAAAGGGTTTACTCGTGCCGGTGTAATACGTTTGAACGATTCGATTCGAATATACGTGTGGGCGCCGGTGGGTGCGCAGACGCAAACGCGTTCCAGCTTCGTGGGTAAAGGAACTGCTTACGATGCGCAGAAACAGTTCGTGTCCAACGTTGGGGATGCTATTAATGCTTGATAGTAAAACAGCGCTAGTGGACGGGGGGATCGCGATCGGCTTGTGCCTCATTTGGTTAAAAATTCCTTAGCCGCGACGTACACCAGACCCGCCACGGCGACGATGGCTGCCCACAGGTTTTGACTGAATCACGTGACAGTTTTAGCCAGCGTACTCAGTAGCCACGAGACGATGCTACCCAGGATTCCCGGAAGCGCGTCGGCGGCTTTACCCGCAAGTTTAGCCAGGGCTGCGCCAAGTCTCTGACATTGCCACCACCTGGTGGTGGTGTTGGTATGCCACTGCCGCCCATCAGCGATTATGACCAGAGTCGATATGATGAAGCCCAATGCCGTCAGAACGCTGGCGATGGTAATGCCTTGTTCCCGGAACAGAGTTCGAATCCTGTTGGCCAACGTGGTGTCTTCGGTCAGGACTCGACCGATGGTTTCCCGCATGCAGCTGATCTGAGATCGAAGCTGTTCTCGATTCGAGGAAGCGGATTCCAATCGGGCCCGTCTCTCGTCTTGCAAGTTCATTCAGTTTCCCCATGTTGTCCACGGGTTCTCCACAAACGGTTTGCAATGCCCTGTCTAGCCCTTGCAGTTCTCGAACAGGAAATTCAAAGCCCGGCAATGGCTCGTTCCAGTACGTGTCCAACAGTTTTTCGATGCTGCCCGAGGTTTCTTTGGCACGTTTGGGCACATCTCCGGCATTGCTTAGTTCGGTCCTGACGTTTTGCAGATCACGAACTACTTTGGGTGGAAGTTGTTTGGGTCGTGCGCCACCGTATTCTCGCAGGTTTAATTCGTCGAGAACGAATTGGGCGCCGTGTTTTCCGACCACCGTCGACAGAGCTAGCGGTTTTCTCGTGCGCGTGTTCATGAGATCGATCTTTGGATCGGCTATCAATCGCAGCGTGCCCTTGTTATCGATGACAAACTTGGAATAGTCTCGGTACGGCGGCTAGACGTAATTTGTATCCCGGTTTTTTAAATCGTCGTAATAATCATTGACGGTTTGTTTGAGGAGTTCGTCGCTCAAGGAGTTGTTGGTAAACGAAGTGTCTTCAACGTAATCCCCATCATCGAGCGCACCACCGCCCAAATCATCCATCGGAATATCATCCATCGGAATATCATCCATTATATTAATTATATTAAACTTTTATATTTTATGTATATAACAATGTAACAATACGGAATAAAGCTAGATCCTTTCCGAAGATTAAGAGAGCCTCTAGGTGCCAAAAGCCGTGCGTCAGTCGGTGACTATCACCAATAATCCGAGCAAGATAGATCAAAACCAAACGCTGTTGGTTCAATTCCCCAACCTGGGCGAGAATGACCTTATCGTTCCCGGCACAGTTCGACTGGCATCTAACATCGCATTGACTTCCGAAAACGACAAACGTGAACTCGTGCGGAATATCGGCCGTGCCATCGTCAAGAAAACCACCATCAAATTCAGCGGCAACTATGTGTTAAGTATAGAAGACAGCTATGTGTTTTACTGTTAAATAGACCTATGGAAAAGCGAGGGTGAACGTAATAATGATGTGTATCAAGGGATCAGTAAATCAACTCGGATGCGCGTCTGGTGCGTTTTCACGCAAGATTAGCTCAACAAAATCCTGGCGGATGAAAAAGCCATCGCCGAAGCGTATCGGAACCGGTTTTGCGTGCCGCTCGACTTCAAGTTGCTCACGTTTTACCAGGCCGGGCTGGGCGATCAGTTGGAATACGAACTCACGTTTAACGACTACAGCAAAGTGGTGCGTACGCCGAACGGTGATGCTGGTAGAAGCCATCAGCAACATCTCGCTGGAGTTCGACATGGTAACGAGCCTGGAGCTGGCCCGGCAGGTTTCGAAACCAGTACTCGGGAAAGCTGTCCATCCTCTACGACCGAGTCCTGCGACACCGGACGATCGTACAGGACAAGAGCGACACGCTGTGGAACATCAACTTGAACATGCCGGCGCGATCGATGAAAGGCATCTTGATCGTTCCTGTGGAGGATTATGAACCCTTTCAAAGAGACAGCAAAAGGTTTTTCAACCCCGAAATCACGATAGTGGAAGTAACCATCGAAGGCGTGCCCAACCAACTGTTCAGTCAAGGTATGAGGGCACAACAGCAGTGGGATGAGATGAAAAAGCTACCCAACGTGAAAGAACCTGTGCAGATTGGGGATAACCTGACCACCAAGTACGCGTTGTGGTTGGACAATGGATCCACGGACGACGATCGGTTGCACGGCAGTGGATGCCGCATCGACAACGGCAGCGAGGGGATAACCATCCAAATCACCAAAATATCCCAAAATGAAGGCAAATTAAATAATATTTGTACGTGATTATGGACGCGCAACTTAATCTAGACAATGGAAGATTCGTGCAAGCCACCGATTGATTTGCCTCGAGATCCACACTGCGCTATCGTGTGCGGTCAGACGGGCTGTGGGAAGACCGTTTTTGTGTTGAACATGCTGGAAGGATACTATCGGGACGTGTTTGATAATATCGTTATTATATGGCCTACTTTACACATCAACAAAACATACACAGAGAGATCTTGGGTGATGACGGACCCGGACGTGCACATCCGGGAACACGTCTGCAGGATTTCTTGAAAGCTTATCACAACAAATTTAAAGGGGAGTCAATGCTGTTCATCCTGGACGACTGCAGCGCTAATAAAGAGATAACAAAAAAGAGAGACATGCTGTCGTATTTAGCATTTTCTGGCAGACACGCAAAACACAGCGTTTGGGTGCTAACGCAGAAATTCAACTCAGTGTTGAAAGACCTCAGGGAACAGACGCGATGGGTAGCCTTGTTTCACTGCAAGGACAGGGATTCGTTCTAGAACTAGAACGGGAACGAGTGAAAAAACTGCTTGCCAAAACGAAACACGCCACACTCGTGTTGAAAACCGACCAACCTGTGGTTTATCGAGTGTTTTAGTTTAGCAAATTCTAGCAAATTCTTAGCAAATTCTAGCAAATGAAAGTTTATAGTTTTATATTAAATGTCGACTTTTGAAATTCTCATCGTGTGTAACTTAACTTTCATCTCGCTATGTTTCACGTGCACTGGATATTATTTTATTAGAATGAAAAATCGTTTGTTACATTATAAAATGGAGTGCAACAAACTGCTCGAACAAATGTTGGTGGCTGATGATAAAAGTGACGACAAACGAGATAGACGGTGGCGCTGGCGGTCGGCGGCAAAGCCAAACAATACTTTGATGGGGACAATCTCACTCCAGATAAAATTCAGAAAATGCCCACCGATGAGATCGATAAGCTGTACGCGAGATACGAAAACTATAGGATCTGTCATAACGCAACTTCCTTCCCATTCCACCGGAACGTTGACTTTACCTGTGGGAAGATCTCGAGAAAGATCCGTTCATCGAACACGCTTTGGACGCTGTCAGCTGCGTCTTGTACCACAAATACGGTATGTTTTTAGCCCCGGTTACCGCGGCGATTATCACTGCAAAGCATTGTCAATTTAAAGAGGAAAAAAATAAAAATAATAGTATACAAGATGGAAACTGCCCAGCAAGAAATGACTCCGGCTCCAACACAGGAACCGACACAAGTCACCAAGAAGAAGAATCCAAAAAAAGTGGACGCTGGTAGAAAAGGCGGTTTTGCCAAGCACCACAAAAATAATTATACTCTGTGGATAGCTGCAGGCGCAGCTGCTGCCGTGGCAACATTAATTATGTTATATAATAAACCAAAACCAACACCAAAACCCACACAACAACCACAATTAGAGGTAAACCCGCATATTATGTTATAAAATAAATATATTTTTGTTGTATATATAATGTCTGAAGGAAATACATTCGTTAACGACGCATACCACGCCACCGTGGTCGCCGGACTAGCCGTAGGTTACGTTCGTTTAACAAAAATGGTTCTCAAACAACCTACGATCAAGCTCGATTTCGACCTGCAGGATATGGGGATGCTCATCATGAATTTGGGCATGGCGATGGCCACCAAGGACGTCCTCGTAAAACAAGGAATTATACTGGAAAATATTTTCAAGTAATATAAACATATATAGAATGGCTACGATCGCTATGATGGTCGACAGGGCTTTAGTCAACTCCCTGGCATTTTCTGGGAGCAATTACCTTTTCACGAAATTACGAGAGTCAAACGCGGCCGAGGTAGAAGCGTAACGAAAACGCCACGATATAGCCTTGGAGAAATGACAAGCAGCCCAAACCGAGTACGCATAAAAATGCATGCAGAGACTCAATTTCATTAATGATCAACTCGAGCGTGAAAACCATGCCGTTAGGACGTCGATGATGCCACGAAAGAATACTACCTGCTAACCGGTAAACAGCTCGAACCTCTCGACGATGAACCCACACTCTCTCAGTATTACGCGCCTTGCCCCAGGACAAAAAAGATCGAGAACTGATCTTCGTCGCACTGGGTCTAGCCGCGACCGTGTTAATAGTGAAACAATTAGACTAAATATTCATATGAATATAACAAAGATGAGACCCGCTCCGTATCGTTGTCAATAAGTGCTTATGGGGAAAACTGACATTTGTGGCAAGAAATGCAGGACTGAGGGGTATTGTTGCATACACATGAAGACTATAAGAAAAGGTTTCATGAACTACACGTGCTCTGTATGTGGCATTGGAGTGAAATGTCATTACTGCTTATGTAGATCCCACGGGGCGAACATGGTCCGAAACCAACTTATTTACGAGAAGAAAAAAGACTATTTGAACAAACGTAAGAGCCTCCTCAGAATGAAAATTTTTTAAAGATTTTATATGCGCTTCTTATTTTTGGCCTGACAGATAAGGCTGGCGGAGTTACCTCCCCTCAATAACCAGGGACTCAATTAGAGATTGGGTTTGCAACTAAGTATAACAATGAATACTGTTCGAGAGCCGGCCGATCTACAGTTCGTGCGGACTTCTAGAACCCCGAAAGGTTATCTGAAAATCTGGCAGATGAAATTAGCCAAAATTATACCAGCCACCGATATCAAACCTATAATCACCAGCAAACTCGAAGAGGAACTGAACGACTTGGGACGCTTCAAATTTCGATTTGTATTGAAAATAATGCGGATTGATGGGGCCTTGGGGGTTATCTTCCCCATCACAGGTAGACCTAAAATCACGACTTAACCCGAGATAGATACGTAATTCAACACCTCATTACAAAACATACAAGAACACCTGGAACGTGTTGAGTACAGAATCGAAACGGTCTATCTAAGTATAGCTGACTACAATGCTGAAGTGGACCTATTATTACCACCCCTCCACATGTGTTCTTGTGTGAAAGTTAGTTTCTTTTTTTTTTTGTTATCTGATAGCCAAAACACATCTTTACAAGAACCATGAACGTTGCATCAAAACGCAACCGTAACGCCTCCTGCAGTCACTTTCTGCATGTGCAGGGTCCAGCACATAGGTTTCTGACGGCTAAGTGGATGGTCGACAATTTAGATCAGTGAGACTCGTACTGGTCGTTAAATTACACAAATAGTTTGCCATATTCGGGCATAGTATAGATACTAAACAATTTAGAATTATAGTTGTGTATCTTATCAGATAGCTTATTTAGTTCATGTAGTTTAGAAAAAGTATCATATTTTGTTTGGTGGTCGGAGTAGCAAAAGTATCATATTTAGTTTGGTGGTCGGAGTGGCAAAAGTATCATATATTTAGTTTGGTGGTCGGAGTGGCAAGAATGTTGTTTATTTACCATTTAGTTAAGCACGTTTTTTCACATTTCACATTCACAAATTATTTTAGTAATTCCACTGCGTAAACATTTGGTAGCAGAGCGTGGTTACTGCTCTTTATTTCTGAACTGAGTTTATTTATTCAGGTAAGTTGTTAGGTGTTCTCTCTTTCTCCCAGTGTAGATAGTGTTATTTTTTCAATATTTTGTTTTGAAAGTCATGGCCAAACCAGAAGCTGATAGCAAGAGTACTATGCTCAATTTACAAATAATAAAACTTAAACGTGCAAAGACCAGTTCGAAAACGGCACTAACAAAAGCTAAAAACCAGTTGTTAGCTTTACTTGAACAAGAACTACCTTCAAGACAGTCAATCAGAGATTATATTAACAAGGTTGCCTCACTACAAAGCAAGACTGTGGGTGTTATAGTAAGCTTGGCTGAAGCTTATCAAGAAATTGATGATCTAGAAAAGTTTGATAAAACTATTAAAGAGATTGAACCACTTGAAGAAGAAAGTGAAACTGCCGTAAACATGGCTTTAGTATACTTGAACAATACTGCTAGTACTTCAGCAGGTAGTCTGAGAGAGGGTATTGACAGGTTGTATGGTAATAGGGATCACGATGTTGTTCAAGATGACAAAAAGTCGGTTAGAAGTGATCAAGTTTCAAAGCATGGTGATGATGTAAAGCCAATAGAAACAGTAGCTACACAAACAGTTCATGGTAGACAAAAGGTTGTGACATATAACTCTGAAAATGTTGAAATTAGTTAGTTCACTTTCTGAGATGGATGTTCGAATCACAAAGGCAAGGGTCAGTAGAAACTCTGCGTGAATGGGTAGTCAGAGAATCTGAATTTCAGATGATAGCATCAGAGGTTAAACATGGTGTTTCAGAAAAATCTAAGACAGATCAATCATGTTCACGTACACAGAAAGGTGTTTATTTTGGTGCAAAGAACAATGAGAAAACACTCAAGTGTCATGTATGTCAAATGCAAAACCATACAACTTCAAAGTGTCGTAAACTGAAAGCTCTTGATATTTCCAACAGATGGGAAACTGTAAAACGCCTGCAACTTTGTTTTCGATGTTTAGACAAAGGCCATGTAGGGAAACATTGTCAACAGTCGGAAAAATGTAACATTGACGGATGCCAAGCAATGCATAATCGTTTACTTCATAGCAGCAAAACACAGTTACAAGTTGATGTTGAACAAACCTCAGGTAGTACAGAGCAATTTTCATCTGTTACAATGTCAACTACGAAACAACAAGCTAAGACCTATACACTCAGGACTGTACCAGTTGTCTTAAAGAATGGCATTTCTGAAATAAAGGTCAATGCTCTGTTGGATGACGCCAGTACTCAAACTTACATTAATGAGGACATTGCTAATCAATTAGGTCTTCAAGGTAGATATCAGCAGATCTCTGTTAACGTTTTGAATAGCAAAACTGAGACGTTTAATAGTCGGTGTGTTCACTTTGACCTTGAAAGTGTTGATGGTTCAGTAAAAATGTCAATGAAGGCGTTGACGACTACTAAAGTGACAGGATCATTGCCTGCTGTGAACTGGCAAAATATCCAAGAAAACTGGAAACATTTGGAACGTGTAGATTTTCCTAAACCAGTTTCTCCGCCAATAATAGACATCCTCATAGGGATTGATTATATTGAGTTGCACAGTTCACAAAAAGAACTGTATGGACTACCTGGAGAGCCAGGTGCAAGACTCACACCGTTAGGATGGACATGTGTGGGGATTGTTCCAAAAGGTTGTGCATCCAAGAACCAGATGTCACGTGTATGCTTTGTTCAGCATGCTGTTGCTGGGTGTGCAGATGATTGCCTCGATGAACTTGTTCAGAAGTTTTGGGAAACTGAAGAGGTTGCTATTGCAACACCCAAGTTGAGTCCTGAAGAGGAAGATGCACTTCAAGCTGTTAAAACGTCCCTTAGCTACACAAATGAGCGATATAAAGTAGGCATTCCTTGGAAATTGGATCCTGAAATCTTGCCAGACAATTATGAGATGGCATTGAAACGTTTGAAAGATACAGAGAAGAAATTGTCAAAAAATGATACAATATTAGCAGCATATGAAGATGTCATAGATAAGTACCTTGAAAGGAATTACTTCAGAAAAGTTCCAGAGGAAGAAATCAGTAAATCAAAATGGTACTTACCTCATTTTCCAGTGGTGAATATGAACAGGTCAACAACAAAAGTCAGGTTGGTATTTGACGCATCTGCTAAATGTAGTGGCATTTCCCTTAATGATGTTATACACCAGGATCCCAAGATGCAATATGATCTGTTTGAGATACTTTTGAGATTTAGAAGGTATCCAGTTGGACTCGTCTTGACGTCGTGGAGATGTATTTGCAAATAGAGATTGCGGAGTGTGACCGTCAATACTTCTGGTTTCTCTGGCGATCAAGTGATCAGGTCAAACCTCCTGCTGTTTATGAATTCTCTCGAGTAGTGTTTGGAATAAACTGTTCACCCTTTCTGGGTCAGTACATCACACAGGAGCACGCAAAATTACATGAAACAGACTTGACTATGGCGTCTACAACAGTTGTTAAATCAACTTACATGGACGATAGCATAGATTCTGTTCAAACTGACATTGATGCATTAGAACTTTACAACCAGCTGATGACCCTTTGGGGAACAGCAGGTATGCACGCCAGAAAATGGCTGTCAAATTCAAAGAATGTTCTGAATGAAATTCCAGCGGAAGACAGGGTGCAGGAAATTAGCATATTGACAGATGAATTACCATCAGTCAAAACCTTAGGACTTGTCTGGTGTGCTGAAGCTGACGAATTTAACTTTGGTTGTAGTTCAAAAAACAAATTGCTCACAGTGACAAAGAGATCCTTTCTCAGAGAAATTGCCAAGGTTTTTGATCCGTTAGGATTACTAGCACCATTCGTTGTGAGAGCAAAAATCTTACTCCAGCAAATGTGGCTTGCTGGGCTCGGATGGGATGAGAAAATGAATCCTTATCTTGAAGCAAAAACATGGAAGTGGTACAATGAAGTGCAGCTGATTTCTTCTCTCAGATTTCCGAGAAACATAGGTTTAAATCAAGCTGCAATTGACCAGCAGTTGCATGTATTCGTAGACGCTTCTCAAGAAGCATTTGGTGCAGTCATCTACTGTGTAAGTAACCTCCCAGTCAAAGCAGGTCTAGCACTCTAGTAGCATCCAAAAGCAGAGTTGCTCCGCTAAAAGCAATGAGAATTCCTAGGTTGTAACTGCTTGCAGCTGTTCTTGGTGTACGACTAACACTGATTGTGACAGAGGCTCTTGCTGTTTCTCCAAAATCAGTAAAGTTTTGGTCAAACAGTGAAAATGTCTTATGTTGGATTAAAAATCAAAGCAGAAACTTTAAACCTTTTGTTGCAAACAGAGTTGGGTTCATACAGGATAATACTCACCCAAGTCAGTGGAAATATGTCCCAACCAAGCAGAATGCTGCTGATATTCTCACAAGAGGAGCACATGTTGAAACCTTAAATAGAAAGGAATGGCTTCAAGGTCCAGAGTTTATAAAACAAGATGAGAAGGAGTGGCCAAATCAAAGGAACTTGAAAGTTGATGAAAACTTAGAAAGACGCAAGGGATGTCAGTCAGATATTACAATGGTAACATGTAAAGCTGCTACAGTGATGACCTGGCACTTGGACCCTTCAAGATATTCAGATTGGAGGAGATTGTGCAGAGTTACTGCCTGGATACTTCGGTTCATTCACAATGTTTCTTCTGGAGAAACTAGGAAATCTGCCGAGCTTGATGCCGATGAGATTCAAGATGCTGAAACACTAGTTCTTTTGAACGCTCAAAAGGAAGCATTTACAGAGGAATACACAGCTTTGACCAAAGGAAAACAGCTTCCTCACTCTAGCAAATTATTGGGTTTACATCCATTTTTAGACGATTCTGGACTGATCAGATCTGGGCCCACTTGCACAGAACGATCTTAGCGCTACAATTATTGTAAATCCTTAAGATCTCGATCTTAGGCTTCGGTTACAATCGCCATCTACTTGCACAAAACAATTGCAGGCTAAGATCATTGTAAGTTACAATCGAAACTTACAATTGGTCCAGACCAATTGTAAGGAGCAAAGATCATTTTAGTCATTTTAGAAATGACATTCAAATTAGTGTCACGCAAATAATCAGCTTTACGTTTGGAGATTGCATATATATTGCATAAAACTGTGTGGTTCGCCACGACACTTCAACAACACGGAGAATGCACAACCGATTTAACATCAGATACATTAAAATTGTTATTTACTGTAGTGAAACACATAACTATCGAGTCGATATCACAAAGTACTATTCCCTGCCGATTCAATGTTTGAATAAGTGTGAAACAACATACCTTCTTGATAATCAAGGAAAGGATAATAGTGAATGGTGTCCGCGTGTGAGATTAACAATGGCCGTGACCTTTTCATTAACTCAAGAGCAGATAATTTTACTTTATACGCAAGATGGGAGTGGTTTCCCTTGGCATATGCCGTTGCCGTACAGTCTGTCATGCCCAATTGCAGAGCTCAACATACTGATATCTCCTTTCAGTCATGGAGTGATTTTGTCTTACTTTATCATTAAAGTAATCTACAATTAGACACAAGTTAACGTGCAAAATCAAGTTTCTTTCTCATCCATAAATCTAAATTTGATTATGCAATTTAAATATATACAAGTAGTCATGAAATAGGGATATACACATGATGAGGCATTAAAAATTTATGTTTCAAAAGAATTTCACTTTAAGAAAAATATTTATCAATGCAATAGGGTTAAATAATTAATATACTGTGAATACGTTTATAATAATAACTACTCTCTGGAAATATTATTTAATACACGTATTTCCCTGCCATGCATTCTTTACAACACTTCTGTAGCCATTATTTTATTGTATTTTATTCTAGGATATATTTAGGATTTTAAACCCACCCCCACTTCACCCCACCACCCCACCAACAGCTGCGTATTAAACAATGTCTCATTGACAACCATTGGCAAATCATACATTTAGGTGTTATATCATAAGGAAATACTGTTTATATTTGTTATTTTAAGTTCCATAATTAAGTCACTAAATCTAGATTCAAATTTATTCATGTATTTTTTCGTATTTCAGTATTTTCATAAAACATGGGTATTTCTGTGGTTGCAATATCACATTCTCAGTTCATAAATCAAGACAGTTAGAATGTAGAAAAATATATGCTATCGTCCACGTAATCGGTTCCTTCTAAGATTTCTGGGACTTTTTCATGAAAATTCTGCAAGGTGCAATTGAGGGAGGTATGTATTGTGTGCTGGGACCAGTATCACTTTTTATTTGCGCAGCATGCTATGCGCACTTTCAGACAACTGTAGACGGGAGTCGAGTTTAAGAAATTCGTACCTCCACCGTTGAAGAGTTCGATCTTAGCTAAGATCGCGATCTTAAATACATGCCGTCTTACAATCGCTCTAAGATCGGCTTTGTGCAAGTGGATTGGGGCAAATGTATGGCGATTGTAAAGTTGATTGTAGGGGCCTAAGATTGATTGTAACTAAGATTGCTCTGTGCAATTGGGCCCAGGTGGTAGACTCAGATATGCTGAGGATCTTTCCTATGAATCACGTTTTCAAATCATACTTCCTAGAGCTCACTGGGTAACAAAGTTGATGGTGAAACAATTCCATGAAGTCTGTTGTCATATGGGAACCAATAACACATTGGCTGCATTGTCAAGTAGGTTTTGGATTATAGCAGCTCGTGAAGAGATTCGTAGTTGGGAACATGAGTGTGCTTGGTGTAGACATCAGAAAACCAAGCCTGCTACACAGATAATGGCAGATTTACCAAGTGTCAGGGTTAGATGTTCCATGAGACCCTTTGCTCAGACAGGAGTAGACTTTGCTGGTCTATTTCTAACAAAGCAAGGTCGGGGGAAAAGTCGACAGAAACGGTATCCGTGTTTATTCACGTGTCTATCAACTCGAGCGGTACACCTGGAGATAGCTTTCGGTTTAGACACAGACTCTTTCCCGAACATTTTCTCTCATATGGCACACAGAAGAGGAATACCAAATGAAGTCATCTCTGATAACGGCACTAACTCTGTGGGAGCCGTCAAGGAACTTAGACAGCTAATTTCGGAACTTGATGGAGACTATCTAAAAGCTTCTTTAGCAAGCAGAAAAGTCGTGTGGAAGTTTAATCCACCACATGCTCCACATTTTGGTGGAACTTTCGAATCTTTGAGTGAATCAGCCAAAAGAGCAATCTATGCTGTTCTTAGTTCTGGTGATATATCAGACGAGGAACTGATGACCGCCTTTGTAGGGGCAGAGGCTTTGTTAAACTCTCGACCTCTGACATATCAGAGCGCACATCGCAGTGATGTTGTGCCTCTTACACCAAACCATTTTCTACATGGTCAATGTGGTGGCCCCTTTGCCCCTGAGGAAGACCTACAATACTTCAATCCTCGTAAACGTTGGAGGAGTGTACAGGAATTACTGAGGCATATATGGAAAAGGTGGATGAAAGAGTGGTTACCCACTCTCAATGTCCGCAAGAAATGGCAAGCTACACGTAAGGACTTAAAAATAAATGACGTTGTCGTTGTTGTTAGTCCTGAATCTCCACAAGGAAGCTGGCCGCTAGGTAGAATCACCAAGATATATCCAAGCAAAGATGGACATGTCAGAGTAGTGGATGTTCAAGTGGGGAAATCGGTGTTGACTAGACCTGTTACCAAGCTTTGTCCACTGGAGTGGAATCCAGAATAGGACAAACATCGTGTACATTTCAAGTTCAGTACAAGTCTACACAACATTTAGTGTAATTAGATGTAAATAGATGTCTCTCTGAAAGACCAGGGTCTTGTCAGCAAAGGGGGATATTTTCTGGAGAGAAAGTTAGTTTCTTTGGTTTATTTGTTATATGATAGCCACAACACATCTTTACAAGAACCATGAACGTTGCATCAAAATGCAACCGTAACGCCTCCTGCAGTCACTTTCTGCATGTGCAGGGTCGAGCACATAGGTTTCTGACGGCTAAGTGGATGGTCGACAATTTTGATCAGTGAGACTTGTACTGGTCGTTAGATTACACAAATAGTTTGCCATATTCGGGCATAGTATAGATACTAAACAATTTAGAATTATAGTTGTGTATCTTATCAGATAGCTTATTTAGTTCATGTAGTTTAGAAAAAGTATCATATTTTGTTTGGTGGTCGGAGTGGCAAAAGTATCATATTTAGTTTGGTGGTCGGGGTGGCAAAAGTATCATATATTTAGTTTGGTGGTCGGAGTGGCAAGAACGTTGTTTATTTACCATTTAGTTAAGCACGTTTTTTCAAGTTTCACATTCACAAATTATTTTAGTAATTCCACTGCGTAAACACACATGTTCAAATGAAAGATTTTATGCGCACTTTATTTTTTACTCAGTAAATAAGGCTGATAGAGTTACCTCCCCTCCATAACCGGTGGCCTAATTAGAGATTGGGTTTGCAACTAAGTATAACAATGACTACTGTCCGAGACCTTAAACAGATTGCAAGAGAACGAGGTGTAGTCGGTTACTCCTCAGCTGTTGAGATTACTCAACATACAACCCCCTCCCACTGTGAAACAACTCAAACTCCAAGCGAAAGAGCTGGGGCTGGTAGGTTATTCCCGAATGAGGAAAGCCGGGCTAGTCGAACTGTTGCACCAACACAGAGTCGTCGATCTACAGTTCGTGCGAACTGAACATGCGATAGGTAATTATCTGAGAGGTTGGCGGATGCATGTAGGCCAAAACATAGACACGACGACAAACCTCTGATCGCTGACAAAGTCAATGAGGAACTGAATGACCCGGGAAGTCTCAAATTTCAAATCACGGTGAAAATGTCGCTTGATAAACAGCGGACGGACGGTGTCATTGAGTACGTTCAGCCTTACTTCAGAGGTAAACAAGAAGTCGCGACTCAACCCGAGACGATAGACGTGTCCATCGACAACTCGTTGCAAAACAAACGAGAATACCTGGAACGCTACACGCACAGGGGTTCAGGGTGGGTCGTGGACAGAATCGATAAGGTCTATTTAGACATAGCTAACTACATACCGTTCAAAGGCGGATCATACCTGGACTTGCCACCCTACTACAAGGGAAAACAAGCCATGATCAACGTCAAAAACAGAGGTAATAATTGTTTGAGGTTAGCAATCAGATCCGCATTGTTACCAGTCAATGTTAATTCGAACAGACCTTCGAGCTATCCTGAAGACGACGGACTCAACTGGGACGGTATAGACGAACCCAGACCCATATCTCAGATCACCAAAAACACAGAACCACATAGCCATCAACGTCTTTGGACACAAAGGCAACAAAACAATCATGCACAGGATCAGCCTGATGGTCGAGGGTCGCATGATCAATATGTTCATGATCCAGCGAGGTGACAAGTATCACTACGCGTGGATAAAACACTTCACACGGTGCCTGCATGGCTTCACGCGAGCTGATTTATTAGAATCCCACCGGGAGGATTGCCTAGGTGTGGGACAGACAGCCATATGAATCGACATGCCCAACGAAAATGACAACATCTTAAAATTCACCAACCACAAAAATCAAATGCCTGTGCCTTACATCATCTTTGCCGACTTCGAAGCCCTCATCAAACATGTTGGCACCATATGTCTGTCACCGGACAAAAGTTTCACGCACAAAACACAGGAGCACGAGGCCTGTGGATTCGGATACGTGGTCGTCCGATGAGATGGGAAAACGAACACTCCTGTGGTGTACAGAGGTCCCGACGCGGCTGAAAAATTTCTCATGTGTTTGCAGCACGAAGAGAAACTGATCGGGAAAAAGTTGTACACCGTCGTTCCCATGCGCATGACCCAAGCCGACCAGCGAGCTCACAATGGCAGCCACGTGTGCGACATACTGCTGAACGGCGATTCGGTGAGAGATCACTGCCACGTCACCGGCGAGTACAGAGGCGCGGTTCACAACGCGTGTAACCTCAAACTCAAAATCAATCCCAAAACCATCCAAATCCCCGTCATGTTTCACAATTTGAGAGGGTACGATTCTCACTTGATCATGCAGACCATCGTGAAGGTCGACGGCAACCTGACATGCATCCCCAACAACATGGAAAAATACAATTTTTCCTTATCCTGACTCATGCTTATTGCTTGTCTCCCTTTCCTTCCGAATGCTAGTGGAACACTTGAATCCCCCTTTCGAAGCTCCCTTCAAAAAAGCGGACGTAAAATCACTTACCAGGAGTCACCTCCCTTCCCAGGTTTTGGCGGGATACGGCGCCACCCGCCCCCATGCTCCTCACTCTCTCCTGATTCACCCGAGTGGGCGGTTGTGAGAGCACCTTTTATTATTTAGGCATTTCTTCTAAATTAGCTGTATAAGGCTTTAGTTAACATTTACCTACAATATTCTACGGAATTAATTCTAAAAAATATCCGTTTTTGTCACGTTTTTACGTGATTATTCACATTGTTTACAATTGATGAAATCTTGTTCTGGTTGTAGGTATCGTTTGTCTGCTGTTGATCCGCATAACCTATGTCCTAATTGCAAGCCTATATGTTTATCTGACACTCGTTGTCAGTTGTGTTTTCACCTGTCTGATATTGCATTTTTCAGATATTCATATTATCTGTCTGGAGCAAAGGACAGGTCCAGACGAGAATTACACGACATGTCTAAACCGGCTAAGCTTGCAGAGGACCGGCAGTTGGTGTCTGAGCAGAGGCACCATTCCAGTGGTCTACCGGGGTTGTCTACGGAGGAGGTTGCCGCCATAGACAACGCTGGCTCGAGGAAGAGTCATCTTCATCTGATACTTCCTCTTCGCAGTCTAAGAAGACTAGGGCATCATCTTCCCAGAGAAAGAAGTCAGCTACAACTAGACTTCGTCGAAGTCTCCACATGGGGCAACGCAGAAAACGAGGTCCTTTTCAGCTGAGATCGTCCCTCTGGAAGAAGTAGATGTCTACGATGAGCCGCCCATCCTCATCCCTGAGATCACATCTAAGAAGAAGACGAAGACGTCTTCTACAGTGACCACGTAGGACAACCTTTCAACGCAGACGTTCGGCACGAAGGATCAACGCCCTTCGGAAGAAGCCTCATCCATCTCAGATGCGTCGTCAGTACAACAGACAACGCAGACCTTCAACCCCGGCGCCTTTATGCAGCAATTTACCCAGCAGATGTTGGATCTGATGGAACAACGGTTCGCATGCGAGAGAGCTGCGACGAAGACGACGTCTGCGACGAACCCGAGTGAAGATCAACTGAGCTGCAAACCACGTCCGTTGGGAACCAACGTCCTGCAGAGCGTACAGGAAGATTCCAGCTCGACTACAGCGTCCGCACGAACATCTGGCAGCCATACCAGCATGGAACCTGCGACTACGTTCGGCGGAAGGACTAGACGTTCGCCGAACCCACGTAGATCACCATCGACGTCAGATACGGACGTTAGATCCGCGAACCTGAGCATAAGCATGACTACAACGTCCGCACGAAGGTCTGGCAGTCCTACCAACGTAGAGCCTACACCAGTTACGTTCGGCGAACACTCAAGGACAAGACGTTCGCCGAACACACGCAGATTGTCATCTTTTTTCCGACTCTGAAATCAAGTCATGGATGGCCAACGGTTTGGAACTCGCATCACCCTCTAAGGAGGCCAATGAAGCACTCTCGTACTTGATGTTAAATGATGATATAGACACACTCACGATTCCACCTATCGACCCTGTCTCACAGTTAGACACAGTAACCAGACGAACCTTCTTCGGCCTAGCAAGGTCAAGAGCTATCAACGAGACCTTCAACTCGATAATGCAGATCTTCAGGCAGTTCTTCAGACTGATCTCCAGAAAGGATTCAGGGTCGTCAAAAAAAGATATATCTACATCAGAAAAGGGTAGCGGGATTAACTGCACAAAAACTCTCCTCGACGCTGAGAACCTACACATTCATGAAGGTTAAAGATGTTTCTTAAGAATCCAGGAGGGACTCATGTCCATATACAGATCATTTACCTACGGGCAGATCTTCAGGCAGTCAAGTCGTCGCGGTTCAGAGCTAACGACTTGATAGATACTACCGGAGAATTTCAGAGCTGCCTTGGTAAGGCTATGAAGTTCCACAGTCAACATATCCCCGACGTCCAAGCCAGGGATTTCCCACTACTTCACACAGGACCCTTCATGAAGGCTCCAGAGATTGATGTGAACTGCAAGATCATCAACGACTCCCGTTGTAGATCTTACACTGAAGTTGCAAGTATCAACTCTACAAACACCTTTGTGTATTCAACACAAAGGGGTATTTTACGACGCTTCATTGAGACTGATGAATACAGTCTATAAGTAACAGCGTTAAGCAAGTATGGAATTTCTGCTGATCATCTGTATAAGATGACGACTGCATTATCTTCAGGAATGAAGGAACAGTCACAGCAGCCAGGGAGTCAGTCTACCTACATCGGTATTACGCGGCGAAATCTTTCGTGCGTTTACCATTCAGCCCTCTATACACGTGGTCACTCGTGTAACTTCGGGAGGTTACGGACAAGGCCGAGTGTTGATGAAGGAATCAACGACTGCACAAGATTCTACAAGGATCTTTTTCTGGCAACACCGGTGACGTCACATCGCGGGAATCTGAAAGGAATCAAAATACTGCATTTTGATTGGTCCATGAGAGACAACGCCCTGCGCAGAAGTTGGACATCGCTCACATGTCAGGAAGTTGTCTACAGATTGTAAACAACATTTCAACGTGGGAGGAGGACTTCATTTACAGTCCAGTTAGCAGGATACAGCGTGATTTGACTGTCTCAGGGATTTAGAGACCTTCCCCGTCAGCAGATTGAAGACTGTTTATACGGTGAATTGCAACAACATACGTTTGACGAATGTTGCTCGCGGCAGCCAGTCTACTATATATAGACTTCACAACGATGGCAGTCCCAGATCCGGACGTTGCTTCGCTTCCTTTACGGACATGGCAAGGTTTCCACTGTCTACTTATTTACAACATAGAACATGAGCAGATTCTGGGAAGATGTTTCATCTCACCACAGAATGACAAGGTCGTCTCAGAGGATCGTTGGGTCTAGATACAAGTGATGGTATCTCAAGTTCTACTCTCTCTGTTACCACTACGAGAATGACAGCCTATTAGGTCTCCTCACGTCAGCTCAAGACATGACGCACAGAGGGAGACTACAACTGCGTCCACTACAGAGATTTGTGAACGCCCACTTACACAGTCTGGATCCCTTCGAAATACCAGACAGGCTAAAACCATATCTACTATGGTGGACTCAGAAGTCGAATGTTTGCGGCGGAAATTACTTAATAGAGCCGGAGTGCAACGTCCACCTCTACACAGACGCATCACTGCACGGTTGGGGAGCACCCCTCGACAACGAAGTGGTTGCCGGGAAATGGTCGAAACAAGAAATGAATCTGCATATCAACATGCTTTCGAGATGAAAGCAGTAGTAAATGCCCTACTACATTGGTCCAAAGTACTAAGGAACGCAAAATTGATGATCCATACGGACATCTCAACAGTGGCGTTCTACATAAACAAACAAGGATCAACAAGATCTTGGAATCTTCTAGACCTCAGCTTTCAACTATTCAACATAATAGACAATCTCAACATTTATGTGAAAGCATGTCACATTCCGGGAGCCAGGAATGTAATAGCAGATGCGCTATCTCGATCACATCAACCATCCCCAACAGAATGGATGTTACATCCACAAGCGTTCAGATGCATCATACAGACGATAGGATCTTCACTCGTAGACCTATTCGCCACGAGATCCAACAATCAACTGGCAACATTCGTCTCCCCAATTCCCGATCCGCAAGCATGGGCGACAGACACTCTAAGCATCCCATGGGAAGGGCTAAACGCGTACGCATTCCCTCCGCCAGCGTTAATACCACAGGTATTACAGAAAATCAGGCAGACAAACAATCTACAACTGATTTTGGTCGCGCCTTACTGGCCAGCAAGAACGTGGCTTCCCGTTCTTTTACAAGAAATCGGAAAACCAACAATACAACTTCCAGTTTGGTCGAACCTACTAATTCATCCTCACACCAAGCAAGTTCACAAGTATCCAAGATTGTTCCACCTACACATATGGAGCGTATCACAAATTGCTTGTCGAAAAGAGGATACTCCGCCAGAGCAGCGAAAGCAGTTACACTAGCTTTACGCAGATCTACTCGTAACTTGGATGATGACAAGTGGCAAAGCTTTGAGAAATATGCATCGAGGAAAGGTTTCACTGCAGTGAAAGCAACACATCCTCAAGTGGCGGAATATCTTTGTCATCTCAGACAAATGAAGAAATTAAAAGGTTCGTCATTATCTACATACCTAGCGGCTCTCAGCTCAGTTATCACTATGAAGACAGGCGTTAAACTGACGAAGGTGCCAGAGTTACTGGCCTTGCTACGCTCTTTTAACTGGAAGACCAACAAAGGAAATTTAAAGCGCTGGCTTGGGATCTCAACGTGGTATTACGACATCTCACCATTGATGTGTACGAACCACTAGAAAGAACTTCTTACGAAATTCTTACACAGAAAACGCTATTTCTGATCGCCATGGCAACACGGTTCATCTAGGATTGAGGTGGGATTTCATAGCTAAGAATCAACTGCCAAGTCAACCGGACAGACAATTCCACATCCCAGCATTATCTACAATCCTTGGTCCACAGGATATACAAGATTTATCCCTATGTCCAGTCAGAGCGCTGAAAATATATCTGCAAAAGTCTAAAACCAGGAGACGAAAATTCAAACGCCTTTTCATCCCCATATCGTCGGAGACACCCACAGAGATCTCACGTACTACGATATCAGTTTGGATGAGAGCAATCATACTACGAGCCTACAAGGCAGCAGGACTTGAGCCTCCTCGAGCCTCCAATCCGCACGAAGTTAGAGCTCTAGCATCTACACTCGCTCTACATGGAAACTGCTCAATATCCACGATCATGGAAGGGTGTTTTGGGAAATCGGAGACAGTATTTGCTAACCACTACCTCAGAGACTTTGCTACCGAGGACGTCTCCGGTATCCACCAGTTTGGACCTCTGGTTGTAGCTCAACAGCTGACGGCCCTCAAAGGCGCTGAGGTGTATCTCGCCCTTTTACCGCATGTCATGCAAAGCTCGTACTCCAAGGAATAGAGCTTATAGTCCATGTACACGTCTAGAACAGACTAGCATGAATATTGGACCCTGTACTTGTAAGGAATTACTTGTACACGGATAGGGTCACTACTCCACTTGATACGAACATCAAGAGTTGGAGTTATTTAAATCCACATGTACCGTTACAGAAGAGTTTGATATATTGTGGTCCCCCCAAATTACCAAATTATTTCGACATATGGATCAACAGCAGCAGTGCCATTTAAAGTTCCCATGGGGGTATATAGGACGTAATTTCATCATTAAGGAATCCAGAGGTGGCTTGACCCACCACCTATACCGTCGGATTCTACAAGCAATAAGCATGAGTGAGGATAAGGAAAAATATGTAATTTTCTTACCCTGACTCATGAGGTAAGCCCTCCCAACCTCCCCTCAAGGCACTCTGGATTTCCCAGTAAACCAGTGTGTCAGGCTATAAAATACGGAGAGAGTGAGGAGCATGGGGGGCGGGGGGCGCCGTTTCCCGCCAAAACCTGGGAAGGGAGGTGACTCCTGGTAAGTGATTTTACGTCCGCTTTTTTTAAGGGAGCTTCAAAAGGGGATTCAAGTGTTCCACTAGCATTCGGAAGGAAAGGGAGACAAGCAATAAGCATGAGTCAGGATAAGTATAAAATATCAATTTTAGTCAGAAAATTACATTCTCCTTCTCATTAAACGGTCTTAGATTCATCGACAGCGTTCAATTCCTGCTGTCGTCCCTTGATAGTTTGGTCAAGGCCAACGACCCAAACGACTTCCACATCACCAATCGATACACCGATGCCGAGACTCGACCTCTGCTGATGAGGAAGGGCATTTACCCGAGGTTCAACGAGGCACGACTGTCTCCCATCAACTGATTTTACAGCAACTTGACCGGCCGCGCACGATTAGCGTATGGGATAAACTGGGCTGCAAGAATGTGGGTGATTACCACGACCTGTACGTACTCCTGTTGGCCTACGTGTTCGAGATATTTAGAAAAACGGCCTGGAAACAGTACGGCCTAGACCCCGCATGGTATTTCTCCTCCCCGGGTCTCTCTTTGGATGCCTTGTTGAAAAAGACCGGTGTGGAACTCAAACTATTGACGGATTACAACATGCACCTGTTCATCGAAAAAGGATTGCGAGGTGGGATTTCCATGGTCTCCAAATGCTACGCGAAAGCCAATAACAAGTACGTGAAAAACCCCACCACCCATATCCTCTATCTCGACGCCAACAACCTGTACGGCTGGGCCATGAGTCAGTATCTACCCACCGGGGGATTTGAGTGGGCATCCGAGACGATCGACGTCATGAGCATCGTGTCAGATTCGGAAAAAGGCTACATGCTCGAAGTGGACTTGGAATATCCCGTGGAATTACACAAATCACACAACAGCTATCCACTCGCTCCTGAACGTTTGACAGTTAACCCAGATTGGATGTCCGAATATCAACAAAATAAACCGGCTAACGTTGAAAAACTCGTACCCAACGTGATGAACAAGAAAAAATATATCATTCATTATCGCAACCTGCAACTGTACTTGTCGCTGGGAATGAAACTCACAAAAATTCATAGGGTGCTCAAGTTCGACCCGAGTCTGTGGATGGAGCCCTACATTAGAATGAACACTGATTTACAAAAGCGGGCCAACAGTGATTTCGAGAAAAATCCGTAAAGCTCATGAACAACTCAGTGTTAGGTAAGACGATGGAGAATTTGAGAAAAACTCATGAACGTGAAACTAGTCTGATCGAAAGAGGAAAAAAACCTCAGGAAACTGATAGCCAGCCCAGCATTCACCCAAAGCAAAATATTCAGTGACGATCTGGTAGCGTTGCACATGAGAAAAAGTCAAATCAAATTCAACCGGCCTGTTTACGTGGGGATGAGCATCCTCGACTTATCCAAACACCTGATGTACAACTTTTATTACAACGAACTGAAGGACCAGTATGGCGCCAGGTGTGAAGTGCTGTAAACAGACACGGATTCCCTGCTGATGGAAATTCGAACTGATGACGTGTATGAGGACATGAAGAAAAAAATACACCTGTACAACACCAGCGACTACCCCAAGGACCACCCGATGCATGACACTTTCAATGAAAAAGTGCTCGGCAAGATGAAGGACAAATGCGCCGGCACGCAGATCGCGGAATACATCGGCTTGTGACCCAAAATGTATTCCATCCTGAAAGCAGAGCGATAATGAAATCAGAAAAGCGTGAAAAAATATGTGGTGAAAAAACAAATCAAACACGCCAGATTCAAGGAAACCCTGTTCAAGACTCGCACTTTCAAACATCAAATGAATATGCTGAGAAGCGACGGACACAGGATATACGGACTGACGATAAACAAAACGTTCCTGTCGCCGATGGACACGAAACGTTGGATCGCCATTAACGGAATCAACACGTACGCGTATGGACACGAAAAAATTGAACTTAAAGAATAAATATATATATATAATGTCACGACATCAAAAATAATTTGAAAACATTTATTACAGCCTGCGTGGATACTGGAAAGGCACGAGCGCTAACACAAGCTTGCCGAGATAGCAAGAGTATCACAAAACGAAGCCAAAGCGTGGTTGGAAAAACAAGCCCTGTGGCAAATCTACCTACCGGCACCACGCTACGTACCTAGAAGAAAATTTGACGTGTCGACGCCCAATCGCGTTCACCAAGCCGACCTCCTGTTTCTACCTCACGACAGGGTGAGACGTAAAACATACAAGTACGCCCTAACTGTCGTTGACATGGCCAGCCGCTACAAAGGAGCGGAACCCTTAACCGCTAAAGATTCGACCCAAGTAGCTCATGCGTTCGAGCGCATATACAAGCGCAATCCGCTGACATGGCCCACCGAGCTGCAAGTCAACCCGGACGGGAGTTCATGGGTGCCCTGTCACAAATACTAACCAAGCTCGACGTCCAAATCAGGCGTGGCGTGGCCTGAGCTCATCGCAGCCAAGCCATCGTCGAGAGATTCAATAGGACTTTGGCTGAGTGCTTATTCGGACATCAGTACGCGCAGGAAATAAGTCTAAATAAACCCAACACCGAATGGGTCGCGCGGCTACCTCAAGTGGTGTCGGCTATCAATCACCAAATCACTCGTATCACCAATAAAAAAACAGCCAACGCTATTAAATTGAAATCAGTGAACGCTGAATCGGCTGCACCATCGCGTAAAGGAAAAGAGAAACAAATACCCGACCGGGTTCTCGTGAGGTACCTCTACCAGCCGGGAGAACACGGAAGGAGACACTTTCGAAGCGAGCCACCGATCCGACATGGTCGATCAAAACTTACAACATAGATAAAGTGGACATCAAAGACCTAATTTAACCGAACTTGTACTATTTGAAAGATGGGCCACCGATAGGTTTTGTCAGAGAGGAATTATTGATCATACCTCACGCGACACAATGTTACCCCCACCCAAGAAGTAGCGATTCAAAATATTTAACTGTTGAGTGATCACAATAGTGTCACGTGACCAAGAAAGTGTTGGTTTTGCGGTCATAGTGACCAGGAAGTTGGCTGGGGATTCAAAAGTGGTATATACAATAGCGGAAGAGATTAGCTTGATTTATGAAATAAAGCTTTACAGAGGCTTTTGTCAAAAGTGATCTCGTACCACTATTCTATATACTACTCCAGCACTTCATATCTGATCACCTGGCCTCGGCGTCGGCAGGTCTCACCCTACTACGAAGACAAGGTCTACTAGCGACATGTTCCTGGAGTGACAGGTTCACCCAACCTCTACTAGAGCTTCTTGGGCAGCGCCTATTATCTTTGGCGGGGAGATTGACGTAGTTGCCAAGGAAGTCACACATGATTCCAGAGAAGTTATGATGATCAAATCCATTGACACGTTGGCCAACATCATCCGTCAAAAGTCACAGAAGTACAGCAGAAGATGGGGTTCGGAACGTCTGGACACTTCCACCCCCAGCCGTTCCTATACAACCTGTTGACAGTGGGTGGACGTCTACAAAGGTACTGGGAAAATTGGGGAAAATTGGAGGACGATTACGTCTCACAAGTACTGCGAGAAGGCTTCAGAGTGCAGCTGAAGACCACATCACTGCTGACCCTCGACCTGTTAGTCTTCAACTATGCAGACGACCAAGCAGATACTATAGAAGAAGCCATCAACTCACTATTGGCCAAGTTCACCATAGGAGTGATAGATCAACACCATCTGATGGCTGGTTTCTACTCCCCAATTTTCTTGGTACCCAAGAAGAACTCCAAATAGAAGTTCAGGTTGACATACAACATGATGATGATCCACCTACCTCAACTCAGACAACTCGTCCGTCCAGCAGATTACATGGCCAGCATGGACCTGAGCTTCCTGTTCAGAGGTTGACACTTCCAGTGGAGCATTCTGCCGTTTGGAATGTCGCCGGACCTGTGGTTATTTACACAGTGACCAAGTTCATTGTAAGCCTATTTACATCGTTGAGGTCTGAGCAGTGTCTTCTACCTGGACGACAGGATCCAAATTCATCAAGAAGCCAATCAACTCAGACGGCAGTCAGACTTCACCATCAAACTGCTCGCGCACAACTGGGATGGCTAGTAAACTTGATGAAGTCTGAGTTGGAACTAAAGCAAGATCTTCAGTTCCTGGGAATAAGGTTCGTCCCAACACAGTACAACATTGTGGTCCCAGAAGATAGTTGGGTCAAGATTCAAGCCATGATTCCAGAAGCAGTCATCTCTCCATCACCACTATGAACATGGCAGTGTCTCCTCGGGCTACTCACCTCAGCGCAGGTTTTGACTTGCAGAGGAAGACTGCATTTACGTCCGCTGCAACAATTCCTGGCAAGACACCTGGACAGCACGGACCTGATCTGTCTACCAGATAGTCTCTAGACGTACCTGTTATGGTGGACTCACAAGTCCAATGTCTGCGGAGGGACCTATTTAGAAGAGCCGGTCTTCGATATGCACCTCTACGTAGATGCCTTACTACAAGGATGGAGAGTGCATCTTGACAACGAAGTGGCATCAGGGAAGTGGTCGAAACAAGTACAACATCTTCACATCAACCAGTTGGAGATGAAAGCTGTGATCAACGTGCTAGCAGACGTTCTATCTTGACCACTTCATCCGTCATCCACGGAATGGACGCTCTACACAGAGGCGTTCTGGCTCATCATAATGAAAATAGGATCTACCTTCATAGACCTGTTCGCAACAACGTTCAACAAACAACTACAGACATTCGTCTCACCAGTACCAGATCCTCGAGCCTGGGCAACAGACGCACTGAGTTTATCATGGGAAGGACTAAACGCATACACGTTCTCACCTCCGGTTCTATTATCTCAAGCACCATTTAGGTTAAAGCAGACCCTGGTGCTACAACTGACCTGGTCGCACACTACTGACCAGCGAGAGTCTGGTTCCCAGATCTAATACAAGAACTCGGAAGCCCAACCCTGAAACTACCAGAGTGACCGAACCTGCTTGTGCATCAGCACACCAAGCAAGCTCACGGGGAACCTGTTAACGATTCCAGCTACACGTTGGATCGTGTCAAGACTTGCTTAAAGAAAAGAGGATACTCCACCAGAGCAGCGAAAGCAGTAATCTTAGCTCTCGCATGCAGATCAACTTCGCAACTTGCCGCGACAACAAGTAGCAGAAAGTTGAACAGTATGCAGTGCGCGGAAAGGTTTCACAGTAATGAAATCGACTCATCCTCAAGTGGCGGAATATCTATGTCATCTTAGATATATGAGCGTGATTGAAAGGTTCGACTTTATCTACATACCTGGCAGTTATCAGTACAATCATCATGATGAAGATGAGCATCAACCTGACGAAAGTGCCAGAACTACTTGTTCTGCTATGCTCCTTCAAGCTGGAAGACCAGCAGAAGAAATCCAGAGCACCAGTCTGGGATCTGAACATGGTTTTACAACATCTTACAAGTGATGTCTACGAACCACTAGAGTAGACTACCTTTGAGCTACTCATACAGAAAACTCTGTTCCTCCTGCGCCTTAACTGCAAAGAATCAGTTACTTGGCCAACCCGGACAGACAGTTCTACGATCCTTGGAACAGAGGACACCCAGGACTTATCCTTGTGTCCTGTCAGAGCCCTGAAGATATATCTTCAAAAGACTAAAACAAGGAGAAGAAAATTCATGCGCCTATTCATCCCCTTTGTCAGCAGAGGCGACAGTAGAAGTCTCAAAGGCGACAATATCTTTTGGATGTGAGCCGACAAAGCAGCAGGATTAGAACCTCCAAGAGCTTCCAACCCACACAAAGTCAGAGCACTGAGGTCCACCTCGCTCTGCACGGAAGCTGTTAGATATCAGCTACAATGGAGGGCTGCTTTTGGAAGTCGGACACGGTGTTTGCCAACCTCTACTTCAGAGACATCACCTCTGACGATGTCTCTGGCATTCACCAGTTTGGTCCATTTGTTGTAGAAGAAGAAGATACTAGTAAATCTAAAAATCCACATGAATCTAAAAGATTCACTTGTCTTAGAGAAGTATGACATGATTGTGGTCCCCCGAGTTATAACGGAAGTTGAAAGAATAGGATCTAGGAAGTGCCGCTACACAGTCCCCATGGGGGGATACAGGACGTATCTAAGGACAACTGATGAATCCACTAATAACCACCACCAATCCGTCCGATTCTGTAAGCAAAATATCATGAGTCAGGATAAGGAAAAATATGTAATTTTTAAGTAAAATTGTTATTTTATACTTATCCTGACTCATGAGGCCAAGCCCTCCCAACCTCCCCGCAGAAGACACTTTGGCTTTCCCAGCAAACCCAGGTACATGGGCTTATTCAGGAGAGAGTGGCAAGCATGGCACGTCACATGACTGTTTGCGTGAGAGAACTTTTACGTCTGCTTTAGGGAACTACAAGGGATTCAAGTGTTCCACTAACATTCGGATAGAAGGAGGAGATAAGCAAAATTTCATGAGTCAGGATAAGTGTAAAATATCAATTTTACTTTAAAAATTACATATTTCTTCTTGTTCAGGATCTGTATTGCTGGGAGTGTGTTGACACTCCTTGCTCTTTCATTGTGAGACTTCTCTCCATCAGCTTTTGAGAGTAAGCTCTGAATCATTCAACTTTGGTATAGTTTATCAAGAACAACATCAGACTTGTCAGAGAAATTGATTGCTCTTTGCATGTATGGTGTGTATCAAATGACCCCGACCCATGTTCCATTGCAATAAGGAATAGAAGAATGTTGCACCTGAAAGATTTCTTTTCTGCTGAACACCACATCTATTTGACTTTGCACACTTGGGGATTACTGTGACTTGGTGAGGCATGCTTCATGCATTAATAGTGTGCCTATGACATGCTTCAAACACCCAAACACAACAACATCACAGCTACTCACATTATGCAAGTGTTCAAACACAAAACTTTTCTGTACACAATAGACCGCTTCTATACTGATGTCCCAGTGATTGCCTAACTTGGCTGGTAGAATCCTCATCTTCACATTGTTATCTATCTGAGCACAATGGTTTGTATAAAATGTGTTGAATGGCCTTGCTTTGGACATGGTTCGAAAGTAATGTTTTTAGCTTTGAAAAGATTTTGTGTGTATCAGACCTTCTGCTCAGTATATATTTCACCTTGGTTTGTTTTTTTGGTTATTTTTCAGATTTGGCAGCAGTTCCCTTGTTCTTTCGAATTCAACGAGAACTTTCTGGTGTTACTTTTTCAACATGCATACAGTTCTCAATATGGTAAGAAAATTATCTTTTAAGATACTGTCTAAAATCAACCAAAGACAACAGTGTATATTACTTCGTCTGGAGCTAGTGACATACAGTGTATACTATTTATGGGGCTAGGTGTTCGGTTTTAAATCAAATTTAGAGCTATTATACTTTCGTTGATCTGTGATTTACCAACATAGTATGTCTATCTCCGAATATGTTTCTATTAATCAAACATCAAGGCATTGTATAAAAATATATAAACATATGCTCAATTTGTGAATTACTTTCCATGTAGGCATAAGTACGCACACCCCACAGTTGCAACTAAAACATAAAATACACCTGTGTCAAGAAGACTTACCATTGATACAGGTAGATATAGATACAGGTAGTATCTGCAACTGACACAAATCTTTCTCATTGGACAGTATATAATATGAAGATATTGGGTAAACATTCATGATGTGAATTTTCAACTGGTACCTCTCACTGTCTATTATTTCTAGATGTCCAGGTCATTAACACTCACTGTAAATTTCAATAGAATTCAGTTTGAAATTCATGACAAGTGAATTATTCAATAACATGAGAAATATTGTTTAACGATGCTTGTAAGCAATCAAGGTACATTTACAGTAACTATGTAATGTTATGTCACCTTAACCTACCAATGGCTATACAGTATTTTCACAAATGTACACAAAAACATGGGTAAATACTTGTTTGCTTTGATGTACTATGTGGTAAATTATGCCATGTCAAAATTGTTCTTTTTCCAGTCAAAATTCACTATTTTTTAGATCAAATATGATGGTAATTGTAGCATACAGCACAAGTTTCCAGAAGAAGTCTGGTTTGTTCATTTAACAGAATATTTTCCATTCCAGGTACATTCCTATGTAACAATGAAAAGGAGAGAGCTGGTCACCATCTAACAACTAGGACTGTCTCTCTATGGTAGGACAAACTCTCTGAAATGGAGACTGGACTGCAGTGCGACCTTTCACAGTGTAGTTCACACTGACAACAGTGTTATAATATGTGAAGGATCAAAACCGACTCCGAGGTTTTGTTTGAAACAGTAATCTCAGCTTGTTTAAAGCTTGTAAATAACCTGGCACAAGTGTGTTCACATTTACACAAACTGGTGGGTTACATGCTGTCACAAGGCACGAGCTTATTGAGCCTTTACTTCATCACCTGGGACATCACTGGGTTACAGTACCAGACATGATATATGTGGTTGCAGGTCCAATTTACTTCATCACCTGGGACATCACTGGGTTACAATACTAGACATGATATATCTGGTTGCAGGTCCAATTTACTTCATCACCTGGGACATCACTGGGTTACAGTACCAGACATGATATATGTGGTTGCAGGTCCAATTTACTTCATCACCTGGGACATCACTGGGTTACAGTACCAGACATGATATATGTGGTTGCAGGTCCAATTTACTTCATCACCTGGGACATCACTGGGTTACAGTACCAGACATGATATATGTGGTTGCAGGTCCAATTTACTTCATCACCTGGGACATCACTGGGTCCAATTTACAATACCAGACATGATATATGTGGTTGCAGGTCCAATTTACTTCATCACCTGGGACATCACTGGGTTACAATACTAGACATGATATATCTGGTTGCAGGTCCAATTTACTTCATCACCTGGGACATCACTGGGTTTACAGTACCAGACATGATATATGTGGTTGCAGGTCCAATTTACTTCATCACCTGGGACATCACTGGGTTACAGTACCAGACATGATATATGTGGTTGCAGGTCCAATTTACTTCATCACCTGGGACATCACTGGGTTACAGTACCAGACATGATATATGTGGTTGCAGGTCCAATTTACTTCATCACCTGGGACATCACTGGGTTACAATACTAGACATGATATATGTGGTTGCAGGTCCAATTTACTTCATCACCTGGGACATCACTGGGTTACAATACTAGACATGATATATGTGGTTGCAGGTCCAATTTACTTCATCACCTGGGACATCACTGGGTTACAGTACCAGACATGATATATGTGGTTGCAGGTCCAATTTACTTCATCACCTGGGACATCACTGGGTTACAGTACCAGACATGATATATGTGGTTGCAGGTCCAATTTACTTCATCACCTGGGACATCACTGGGTTACAGTACCTAGACATGATATATGTGGTTGCAGGTCCAATTTACTTCATCACCTGGGACATCACTGGGTTACAGTACTAGACATGATATATGTGGTTGCAGGTCCAATTTACTTCATCACCTGGGACATCACTGGGTTACAGTACCAGACATGATATATGTGGTTGCAGGTCCAATTTACTTCATCACCTGGGACATCACTGGGTTACAATTTTACTTACTAGACATGATATATGTGGTTGCAGGTCCAATTTACTTCATCACCTGGGACATCACTGGGTTACAGTACTAGACATGATATATGTGGTTGCAGGTCCAATTTACTTCATCACCTGGGACATCACTGGGTTACAATACTAGACATGATATATGTGGTTGCAGGTCCAATTTACTTCATCACCTGGGACATCACTGGGTTACAATACTAGACATGATATATGTGGTTGCAGGTCCAATTGACTTCATCACCCGGGACATCACTGTGTTACAATACTAGACATGATATATGTGGTTGCAGGTCCAATTTACTTCATCACCTGGGACATCACTGGGTTACAGTACCAGACATGATATATGTGGTTGCAGGTCCAATTTACTTCATCACCTGGGACATCACTGGGTTACAGTACTAGACATGATATATGTGGTTGCAGGTCCAATTTACTTCATCACCTGGGACATCACTGGGTTACAGTACCAGACATGATATATGTGGTTGCAGGTCCAATTTACTTCATCACCTGGGACATCACTGGGTTACAGTACTAGACATGATATATGTGGTTGCAGGTCCAATTTACTTCATCACCTGGGACATCACTGGGTTACAGTACTAGACATGATATATGTGGTTGCAGGTCCAATTTACTTCATCACCTGGGACATCATTGGGTTACAGTACCAGACATGATATATGTGGTTGCAGGTCCAATTTACTTCATCACCAGGGACATCACTGGGTTACAATACTAGACATGATATATGTGGTTGCAGGTCCAATTTACTTCATCACCTGGGACATCACTGGGTTACAGTACTAGACATGATATATGTGGTTGCAGGTCCAATTTACTTCATCACCTGGGACATCACTGGGTTACAATACTAGCCATGATATATGTGGTTGCAGGTCCAATTTACTTCATCACCTGGGACATCACTGGGTTACAATACTAGATATGATATATGTGGTTGGGGTCCAATCTACTTCATCACCTGGACATCACTGGGTTACAATACTAGACATGATATATGTGGTTGCAGGTCCAGTTAGTGTTAAATATTTTGAATCGCTACTTCTTGGGTGGGGGTAACATTGTGTCGTGAGGTATGATCAATAATTCCTCTCTGACAAAACCTATCTGTGGCCCATCTTTCAAATAGTACAAGTTCGGTTCATCGTCTTTGATGTCCACTTTATCTATGTTGTAAGTTTTGATCGACCATGTCGGATCGGTGGCTCGTTTCCGAGTGTCTCCTTCGTGTTCTCCCGGCTGGTAGAGGTACCTCACGAGAACCTGGTCGGGTATTTGTTTCTCTTTTCCTTTACCCGATGGTGCAGCCGATTCAGCGTTCACTGATTTCAATTTAATAGCGTTGGCTGTTTTTTTTATTGGTGATACGAGTGATTTGGTGATTGATAGCCGACACCACTTGAGGTAGCCGCGCGACCCATTCGGTGTTGGGTTTATTTAGACTTATTTCCTGCGAGTACCGCTCAGCCAAAGTCCTATTGAATCTCTCGACAATGGCTTGGCTGCGATGAGCTCCGGCCGCACCACGCCTGACTTGGACGTCGAGCTTGGTTAGTAGTTGTGACAGGGCACCCATGAACTCCCGTCCGGGATCGACTTGCAGCTCGGTGGGCCATGCCAGCGGACTGCGCTTGTATATGCGCTCGAACGCATGAGCTACTTGGTTCAAATCTTTAGCGGTTAAGGGTTCCGCTCCTTTTTAGCGGCTGGCCACGTTAACGACGGTTAGGGCGTACTTGTATGTTTTACGTCTCACCCTGTCGTGAGGTAGAAACAGGAGGTCGGCTTGGTGAACGCGATTGGGCGTCGACACGTCAAATTTTCTTCTAGGTACGTAGCGTGGTGCCGGTAGGTAGATTTGCCACAGGGCTTGTTTTTCCAACCACGCTTTGGCTTCGTTTTGTGATACTCTTGCTATCTCGGCAAGCTTGTGTTAGCGTTCGTGCCTTTCCAGTATCCACGCATGCTGTAATAAATGTTTTCAAATTATTTTTGATGTCGTGACATTATATATATATATTTATTCTTTAAGTTCAATTTTTTCGTGTCCATACGCGTACGTGTTGATTCCGTCGATGGCGATCCAACGTTTCGTTTTCGTTGTCCTTAGATACGTCCTGTATCCCCCCATGGGGACTGCGTAGCGGCACTTCCTAGATCCTATTCTTTCAACTTCCGTTATAACTCGGGGGACCACAATCATGTCATACTTCTCTAAGACAAGTGAATCTTTTAGATTCATGTGGATTTTTAGATTTACTAGTATCTTCTTCTTCTACAACAAATGGACCAAACTGGTGAATGCCAGAGACATCGTCAGAGGTGATGTCTCTGAAGTAGAGGTTGGCAAACACCGTGTCCGACTTCCAAAAGCAGCCCTCCATTGTAGCTGATATCTAACAGCTTCCGTGCAGAGCGAGGGTGGACCTCAGTGCTCTGACTTTGTGTGGGTTGGAAGCTCTTGGAGGTTCTAATCCTGCTGCTTTGTCGGCTCACATCCAAAAAGATATTGTCGTCTTTGAGACTTCTACTGTCGTCTCTGCTGACAAAGGGGATGAATAGGCGCATGAATTTTCTTCTCCTTGTTTTAGTCTTTTGAAGATATATCTTCAGGGCTCTGACAGGACACAAGGATAAGTCCTGGGTGTCCTCTGTTCCAAGGATCGTAGAACTGTCTGTCCGGTTGGCCAAGTAACTGATTCTTTGCAGTTAAGGCGAGGAGGAACAGAGTTTTCTGTATGAGTAGCTCAAAGGTAGTCTACTCTAGTGGTTCGTAGACATCACTTGTAAGATGTTGTAAAACCATGTTCAGATCCCAGACTGGTGCTCTGGATTTCTTCTGCTGGTCTTCCAGCTTGAAGGAGCATAGCAGAACAAGTAGTTCTGGCACTTTCGTCAGGTTGATGCTCATCTTCATCATGATGATTGTACTGATAACTGCCAGGTATGTAGATAAAGTCGAACCTTTCAATCGCCTCATATATCTAAGATGACATAGATATTCCGCCACTTGAGGATGAGTCGATTTCATTACTGTGAAACCTTTCCGCACTGCATACTGTTCAACTTTCTGCTACTTGTTGTCGTGCAAGTTGCGAGTTGATCTGCGTAGAGCTAAGATTACTGCTTTCGCTGCTCTGGTGGAGTATCCTCTTTTCTTTAAGCAAGTCTTGACACGATCCAACGTGTAGCTGGAATCGTTAACAGGTTCCCCGTGAGCTTGCTTGGTGTGCTGATGCACAAGCAGGTTCGGTCACTCTGGTAGTTTCAGGGTTGGGCTTCCGGTTCTTGTATTAGATCTGGGAACCAGACTCTCGCTGGTCAGTAGTGTGCGACCAGGTCAGTTGTAGCACCAGGGTCTGCTTTAACCTAAATGGTGCTTGAGATAATAGAACCGGAGGTGAGAACGTGTATGCGTTTAGTCCTTCCCATGATAAACTCAGTGCGTCTGTTGCCCAGGCTCGAGGATCTGGTACTGGTGAGACGAATGTCTGTAGTTGTTTGTTGAACGTTGTTGCGAACAGGTCT